TTTGTCGCTCTTCCAAAGGTAGCATAAGGCCTCCACCCTCCAACTGGAGCATGCGCTGTTTCAGGTGCTCCCGCAAGAGACGGTCGCCCTCTCCGTTCTGACGTTGCGCGGCTTCACGCCGTCGAGCGACCTCTGCCTTCCACTCAGAGAGTGCATCTCCAGCACCATCGGTTTGAGCATTCCCCAAGGAAGGACGAGGGGCAGGTGGGTAGCCAGGCTCCTGCTTGATCTGGGGCGCCTGGCCATTCGGCAAATGCTGCATGTTTGGTGGGCGTGGCTGACCTGGCATGCCGATCGCTGCCTGCGACTGGGCTTGCAGCTGACTAACCGAAGTGGCAGCTGCGTCTCCATAGCGCTGACGGAGCATGTCGGCGGCCCGTTGTTGAGCAGACTGGGGGGCTGATCCACTGGGTGGCATCATCATGTTGCCGTTGTTGTTCACGGGCATCATCCCCGGCTGATTGTTGACCCCAGGCTCCGTCTTAATCGGCGGCAGGTGACCCATGGGGCGAGGCGGGGCACCTACCGGGGCCGGAGCTTGCATGGGGGGAGCCGTGGTGGGCATGGACTGAGGAATGGGTTGTTGCGGAGGAGGAACATGTTGCTGTGGTGGATGAGGAGACGGAGCAGGACGAGGAGCGTTGGAAGGGACGGTGGCAGTGGGAGGGAGTATTTGTTGCTGGTTTTGGCTGGGAGGGGCTTGTTGCGGTGGTGGGGGATCCCAAGGGAAATGAGCGACGCCCAACGAAGATAGCTTCTTCTGCCAGCTCTGCGATAGAAAATGTCAGTGGATTGCGAATAAAATAATCCAGAAATAATGAAGGGTTTGACCGAGACAGACTCCCAGTAAGGACAGCGCAGTAAGAATTAAAGAAGGGTGGTGAGGGGAGATCCGGGGTAAGAGGGAAGGAATGAGGAGGGAGAGGGAGTAAGTAGAAGGTGAAGGTGGGCTTGGCAGACTAGAGCGACGGGCGGGTAAAAGCGGCGCGGTATAAAAAGAGACTCAAAAGCCAGCAGTTCCCCCCAGCCGCGCATCCACTGCCCTTTCCCGCACCTCCTCTCGGGCCCCGCTTGGGAACCTCATCACACTTAACACCCCCCCCCCTTCTGACACTGAGCAATCATCCCCGTTTCCCGTACTGTTCATCCAAAGAGAAATCATAAACTGGAATTATCACTCACTTTGCGCAAATCTAGAAGCGTCTGTTGATCCACTCCACTTTCTTCAAAGTCCACCTGAGAGCCATCGCAAACCTCCTGGATGACACGATCGAACACCGTGCCCTGTTGGCAGGTATCAGCCAACGACCTTCAAAGGAAAGGAATATATCTTTGTGAAAGTGTTGAGGTCGTGAGACTATTCAATGGCATGCAAGCATAGCCACCATACTCGACAAAGCTCACAATCCAGGTAGGGATAGATCGGATGGATACTCACCACCTGCTGGTTTGACATGGTCGCCGGGGCAGGGCCTCGTACAGGATCCTTGTCTGGGTTTAGGTGAAACGAAGAAGGAGTAGGAAGAGAATGAAGAATTGCTAAAGAGACGGTGGAACACGAGAAGTGGGATTCTAGAATATCACGACGGTAAGGCGTGGGTGAGAGAGTCGGCTTATCTGAGGTGAAGCGTCGCAGTCGCAGGCGTCGTTGGTAGTTTGCCAAGGGCTCATGCGACAGTCGTAACTCCAACGCCCGCTACAGTAACACGTCCTCACCGAGGTTGTCCTATCTTGTGAGAGTATCGTTTGCCTTGTCAGAACCAGTAGAATGGTAGAAAAGCAAAGATGGAGTAGGAGCTTGAGTCAAGGGCCAGGCGGTGACAAGAAAGGTCAATGTGCCAGAGGGATGTGGTTGAGGTGAAAGTCGCTCTCCCCGGGCGAAATCCGCCTCTCTTCCCGCCTGCTTAGTCACCGCTCCGCTAGTCCCGTCAAGGGTTATCCGGGGGAGTCCTTAACATAAGTTACCATTTCTTAGCAATCATCGCCACTGCATTCTTTTCAAGCAACTGTTTTTTCTTAAGAGACACTAAGAATAATACATATGTAGATAACTTCTAGCATACCTTAGGTAACTTCGTTCTATATCAAAACCACTCATTCTGGCAATCTCTCTCTACAGGGTTCTTCTCATCATAATTGATGAATTAATGCCGAGGAAATGCCTAGCTAGCCTCTTGATAACTATTGGACTAGGTACCTACGGAGAACTAAGGTAAGGTAAGTCTGGCCAAGGAGGAGGCAGTCTCTTCTCCGTACAGAACTCACGCAAGCTACCTTAGTACTTTACTGTACCTAGCCTTCTAATATTAAGGTACTCGTGTAAACTGCTCCGCGGGGGGCTTTCCCGTATTTGGCAAGGTAGAGGAACCGCCGCGGGTTGCGGAGCCGCCAGCCGTATTGGGACAGCTCTCTCGTCCCTCTCCACTGTCCATCTACTAAGTCTTGATCTTTAGCGCAATGCTTCCAGTCTCAGATTCCCTGGCAGGGACACGCTATACTTGATATGTATGATACGGCAACGGGACTATTTACATGATGTCTACCATGAAACGAAAACATGATGCTGTGCCCCATACTATGGTGCAGCGATTGACTCCACAGCCACGGCTATCATGCCAGAATTGTCGTCAAAAGAAATGGCGATGTGATCGCAAACACCCTTGCAACAACTGCAAGCTACGCAAGGTCTACTGCCAGTTTGACTCCGGACCAGATCCTCAAGATCTTCCGACTTACTCAGCAAGACATGGTACAGCTAGCGATTCACCTGTTGGCCCCGTGATCTCGCCGGTATCTGTATCCCAAACAGAAGGCGATACCGCACCAAGCCTCTACCCCAACAACGATGGATCCTTTGGCCTAGTGGATCGAATACGTAAGCTAGAAGAGGCGGTCTTTGGCAAAGATTCGACCACACATGAAACGAATGTGAGTGATCAAGGCGCATCATTGTCTTCCGTACTTACTCCGGCACATAAACAGAGACCAGCTCCAATCGACCTAGGCTCCAGAACCTCTGGCTTTAGGGCCGATAATGTATGTACAGGTCATCAGATACTCCATAGCCCACACAGCTAGCTGAAATGTCGTTGGATACAGCATGGAAGAGGTGGAGGTGGCACTCCTTTCGCCAAGCTATCTTCTTCAGCAATACGAGAACAGATTGTCGAATTCGACGACTGCATGCAAGACCCGAGGCGCATCTTTGAAAGTCTTCCCCCGGTGGAGCAAGCACGACAACTTTTCGACCAATTCGTACGAGCTATTCAACCGACTCTTGGTGTTCTCCATATACCGTCTGTGCGGGTTTTGATGGAGGAGACCTACCGGGATATATCTGAGGGCAAGGAACCGAACTTTACTGTGGTCATTCTGCTCTTGAGCATATATGCCGGCAGCACCCTTGTTGTGACATCCGAGCTCCTAGAAAGTCTCAAAGCAACAGAGAAAGAGGCTAGGATTGCCTTCGCCACTTTCACGCGCCTTGCTATGACTATGCTAGATTATCCTTCGCGACCCGTAGTCCCGTCAACTGTGGCTCTTCTCGCCATAACGACCCTATGTCACGTTCTGACACACGCAGACGGATTCTCCGATAAGATGCAGGCTCTCCGTATGCGCGCAATCTTCATGGCACGGTCAATGCAGATTCATCGTCTGGACTCTCCAAAAGGTCAGGAAGAGAGGAAGCGCACAGGATACGAAATCGTTGAGATCGAGGTCCAGAGACGGATATGGTGGCATATTGTGTCATCCGACTGGTCAAGTCTATCATAGCTCATACTCAAACCTGTTGGCACTAACAGTTGTACAGGATAGTATCACTTTCTCAAGGGCCACAAGAGGGCTCATACCTACTACACCCAAAACACATGAGGGTTAATCTTCCAAGTAATGTTGATGACGAGTCCCTAGCGACCAGTGAGCCAGACTGCGGGTTGCCCCTTACCACCCCAACTTCCATGTCCGTCTTCATCTTGCGTGTTCAGTTTGCCGAGATCTGCCGGCAGATTGTTGACGCCTTCTCCTCTATGTTCCTCGGAGAAAACGAACTACCCGAGTACGATATAGTCCTTGATCTAGACCGCAAACTGCACAATGTCCTCGATTCCATGCCGAATTTCCTTCGGCTGGACCCGGAACATGTCCAGCAGAGCCGTGAGATCATCACAGAGCGACCATACCTCGCCTGGCAGCGCATTGTCGGCCACTTAAGCATCTACACCCGCATCTGCCGCCTCCACCGTCCATATCATCGTGAAGCCTCAGTAAACCCTCGATTTGCGTTTTCTCGCCAGGCGTGTCTCCACTTCGCTCAGCGGATCCTTGATCTCCGCCGCACAATGGACGAAGCCAGCTCTACCGTCGGCATGAAGCCCACCAATTATTGGATGGTCATGCAACATGTATTCTTCGCCGCAATGGTTCTAGCCTCGGACGTGTCAATGAACCCGGGCAGTCCCGGTGCGGACCGCAGGAAGCAGGACGTTTTAATAGCCTGCAAGATGCTAGAGCAATCGCAGCGCTTGTCAACGAGCCTGACCGAGGCGATCCGAAGGAATACTCAGACCCTAATGTCGATTCTCCAGAGCACGCAAAAGGAGCAACAACAGCCCCCGAGAGCCAATCCGGATGCGACGTCTCATGCTTTGCCGACGTCTCAAGAAGGTGCATTCAGTACATCTCCTAGTCGATTCTCACACGGAGAGGCGACTAGGAGGGTAAGCGCTGCTGAAGCAGATGTGCAGCAACTCCACTTTTCCGATAATGCTCCCACTGCGGGGAACAATCACATGGCGTGGGACGCCACTTCTACTCAACCCGCTGGCGAGGAAAGCTGGGGTCAGTTGTGGTCTGATCTATTCGCTGCAGCGCCAGAGATTGATGATATACAATGGGATCTCTTGTTGAACGACTGGGACTTGGCTATCGATACAGGATTCTGAGACGAGTAGGGCTATCTTACATGACGCAGTACTCGTAGCCTTCAGTGTTGAGTATGGTGGGGGCAGGTGCGAGAACCTAGGTAGTACATCGACTCCATTTGATGAACCTCAGGTCTTATGGTGCGCTAGGAATAGCTTCAAGATCACCACTTCGAGAATCTTCTTTCTACTGGTATTCACACACCTACCGCTCTCATTTTTTTTAGTTATGTATTCTGCTTCAGTGCATAGTACAGTGCACCATGCGAGCGAGGTAGTCCTCGCGGTGGTGGCAGCCCTCGTGGCCGTGGCAGCCCTCACGGCCCTCGCAGCTCTGGTTGATAAAAAAAACGTATGGATCTTGTGGTGGAAATATGTCGGCTTGGCGATCTCGGACATCTCGGTAATCACAAAAGTAATTTTTTCAATTTGACCGTTTAGGAAGAATGAACACGTAAACGGGCTTGTCCCACCTGTACAAGAATGCATCTGGCAAGCATATAAGTTATTATTTTCTTTGGGAAGATGAGGAGGGCACCTGGTACAACTATTCTCTCCCCATATGTCATGACCAAAACACTGTGCACCCAGCATGGATGGTTCCGAGCTGAATTCTTTACATAAGTGCTTGTGTGTATCGTGCCTGCCTTCGACGCAGCTGCCGCCTTCATCGTTGAAAAGTGGGTGTCGGGGTTATTGGGTTGAGTAGAGATACGGGCCGCCAGCACGGTGCAAAGACTCGGAGAACCCCGATGCGTCGGTTCTCGAGTTTGTTTCGAAAAGGGACCTTGAGATATCAGAGGGACTATAGCTGAGAGCATGCTCGCTTGTGCGAGCAAAAATATCCGAGGTGGAAGATGTCGACATCCTGTAAAGGTGCAAGACAAAAGAACAGTGATCAATGATCTACATGCACATAGTTAGAACGGCAGTAGAAGACATCATGGATCCGTTTGGGGATAGGTACTTACGGTGGTCTAATTCAACTGTCGGCCACTGCAGCCCAGTGTGAGTCATTCGCTATATCACGCCTATGTCATCGTCATCATTCCTGTCTCATTATTCGGTGACACGCTTATATATAAACGACCTCGCTTACAAGGGCTGCCACCGCCATGAGAACTCCCCTCCCCACAGAACGTTAAACCGGAACAGCCTCAATAACACTATCCTCCAAACTTGCCGTATAAGTCTGGATACTCGTCGCCTTCAACTCGGCACTCTGCAGCAACTGATCCCACTGCTCCTGCGTCCGCTCCCGCGCCGCCAACATCGTCATCATGAGGATATCCAGCTGCGCGGCCTGCCAATGCACGCCGGCATTTAGAAGCACCATGTCGTCAACCAAGATGATCGAGTCCTCCGCCATCGCCTCGATCGTGTTCTGGAGGATGGTCCGCGCCTTGTTATCCGGCCAATCGTGGAAGATGTTCCGGAAGTAACAGAATTTCGCCCCTAAACCGTCATCAAGAGATTAGCTTTGGTCTGTCCTTCTCTCGTCCTTCGAAAGGAGGACGAGAAGGGAGAAAACCTACCTTTAATACCCTGCGGCGGGAAGAAATCCTGCTCCATCGTCTCCACCCCCGCATGCTGGATGGCATGCTGCAGCGTCGGCGCCAGATCCTGGACGACGACGCGCCCTGCGAGATCGGGGTAGCGGTTCCGGAACGCGATGGCCTGCTGCCTGAAGCCGCCTCCTACGTCGACGAAGAGCACGCGCTCCGGGTGCAGGGCGGTGGCGTGCTCGCGGACGGGGTAGGCGTCGAGGAAGGTGGGCATCCCAGCACAGTTGGTCGTGAGGTATTCCTGGAATAAAGCCATCTTTTCGGGCTGAGTTTGTAGCCAGAAGAAGGCAGGTTGGGTGGTGTTGAAGGCCCGTTGGAGGGCGGTGTTAGCACTGTCTTTCGGATCAACGTAGTTGGTTTCCTTGAGGAAGATTGGGAGGGATTGAATGGCTGGGTTCATTGTGTCGAAACTAGTCATTTCCATTATTATAGTTGCATGGTTATGTACAGTACGTCTGTGCCAGGCAATGTGAACAACTGACTAGTGGCAGATGGCGGCTTGGAAGCCTGACAGGGCAAAGGTGGAGGAGATGTTGGTGGAAGTGAAGGTGTCCTTGTCGGTCTCTTTGATGGCGCCGAATGACGCGAGGTAACGAAGCTTGCGGCCTGATTCCATGGTTACTGGATCTCTATTCTTCACATTCGTATCTCACGGCATCAGCTGGGCTCACCCAGGAAGATCGGATCTGTCCCAGTTTTGTCGCTCAGCTCACCGGCAGCGAGAGGCTTCTCGCTCGCCACAAGGGAGCTGAATAGACTGGGGTTGATTCCGACCCGCAAGGCTGCCATTTGTAGGTTCTATCATATCATCCAGAGATTGATCAGTGAGTCTGAAGGAAAGAGGGACACTACTTGATATGCTATACTGTACTTGCGTAGAATGTGAAACGCTGAACCGTATCGTCCGGCTTCTCGATCGAGTTGCGCAACTCCTGCAGCGAGTCTAGGACATCCTTGCGTCGCTTCTCGTCGCCGCTCTGGGCGAGCGAGCGGACTTGCTGGAAGAGGGCTTCCATGGCTGGATTCTTAAATACGGAGCGATACAGTAGAGATATGATTGAAAGTTGAGAGAACTGAGCCCAGAAGACGCCCTGCGGGTTGCTATGGAAGGCTTATATAGATCCCCCTTCTTCTTCTTCTTCTTCTTCTTCTTCCCCCCCCCCCCCCCCCCCGCTAGTGACCGAGACGAGGCTCGAATGCGGTTAGACATGCTGGCAAGGATTGTAGTCCATAGTCTGATCAGAGGAGAGCTGAGAGAAGGGATGTTCGGCTTCAATAACCCTCGTCCCCTGATGCGATATTAGGGGTATCTCAGGTTCTTCTCCAAGCAGATAAACAAGTACGGTACAAATCACAGGACACGGGATTGAATACAACCACCCATCTGCATAGACTCAGGGCTCAGGACTCAGACTACCGGCAGGACGTTCCTTTCAGAGGTTTGCAACTCGATTGGTACAGTCTCTGCGTATCGCAGTATATATCATCACAGTCCAAAAAGGAAAAGAACAGGGCTGAGGATCAGGAAAGAAAGGTGGCGGAAGGGAGAAGTTGGATGCCTTTTTATATCCCGCGGGGGAAAGCGTCACATGCTGCGGACACTGATTCACGGGGGTAATTACGTACATTGGTAGTAATAGATACGGACCTTGGAGTACTCCGTACTCCGGAAATTGACATATTAAGACTATGACACCGGCAGCAGTAATTCCAGTACCAGAGGTATTGAATTTCCATAGACAAAGGAGTAAGTAGAATATACATGCACCATCCAAATACTAATACAGAGGCCTGTCACGGCAGAGCCCCTACCTTAGCCTTCTTCTTCACAGATCAACTAACCTGGAGGTGAAGGAAAGATGCACAGGCCTCAAGGAGATCCTGCCAGATTATTGAAGGCGCGACTGGACGGGCTGGCCAAGATAGCACTCCTCCCTAAGTTTCACTCTGATGGAGACCTTGATTGAACGATATCCAAACAATGAAGCAGTAGAATCATGATTAAAAAGGTTTGTTATTGGTCACCAATTTCTATACAAGATCCGAAGCACTGAAGACAAGACAAACCTCCTCAATCACAGCGCCTTGTCCTTCCAGTCACCGTCCGAACTCCATCACACCATTGAATATCCGCTGTACACAAAAAAAGAAACGCAAGTGGTATCGAGACAAACGCCGGTCTACGATATAGAACGCATCATGTTGAACATATAGTAAGCCCGAAAAGAAAAAGTGAGAAAGCAGGTGTCATCACAACTCTTCAAACCGGATCTACCGGATGGTCATGGACTTGGTCATCTGCGCCTTGCTGCCAACACCACCTTCGCGGGAAGCCGCGGCGCTGGTTCCCGGCTTGCGCTCGAAGATTTTCCAGAATTTCAAGCTCTCATCGGCGGCCGCGGTGGCGAGGAGTTGACCGTCGGGGCTCAAGCAACTGTGCAGCACACGAGTCTCGTGGGCAGGGATCTCCACATTCCGAACCAGAGTCGGGTAGCTCCAGATGCTGAGGGAGTTATCGGGAAAACCGCTTGAGCTGACAATCTCGCGGTAGTGGTTGCTCCACCGCAAGCTGGTGACCTGGGAGCCAGTGTCAATGCTATTGGTGCGTGCACCGGTGGTGGTGTTCCAGAAGTGGATATGGCGGTCGTACGAGCCACCACCAGTGGCGAGCAAGTTCAACTGCCAGGGGCACCAACTGAGAGCCTTGACAGCGGCGCGGTGGTTGGTCTTGGTGAACTTGGGGGCACTGAGGGAGCGAGCATCCCAGATGTTGACCAAGTTGTCGTTGCCTCCCGTCGCGAGCTGAGCACCGTCGGGTCTCCACTCTAAGCCACAGACCTCCGAGGTGTGGGAGACCAGCTCGGCAACCTTGTGTTGGGCGATGCGGACATCGTGGTTGAAAACCAAACCACTGCGGGCGCCGGTGGAAAGAGTGTGCTTGGACCATCCCATAACGCCAACGCGGGAGTCGTGGCCGAACATGCTGCGAAGCTTGGTTCCTTCTTCAACATCCCAGATCTGCACCTCGCCGGTACCCAGGCCCACGCCAACGTACGCTCCATCCCCGCTCCACTTGACACTGCTCACATAAGTGTCAGAAGGTGCCTCCAACAAACAACTGACTGTTCCGGAGTCGGCGGACCAAACGTAAACATTACGCTCAAGGCCAATGGCGACCTGGTTGCCAGAGCTCCAGTCCAGAAGGTTAAGATAATAATCATCAAGCAGACCAGGAGCATCAAGAACACGCTCAGGGGCCGTCTGAACCCTTCTGCGGAATTGGGCGGATTGAGACTTGGCAGACTTAAGAGGACGATTGTACTGAGCGCGCAGATCAATAGGCTTGGAGGATTCAGGAGGCGGAGGCTTAAAGGCCAAAATACGGGTGTTCAAGTTCACTCCGCAAGCATCGGCAAGTGACGATTCGTAGGCAACAGCATCAGGCGCGGGCTTGGTGTAGGAGGTAGTAGACTCGCTGTCGTCGATTCCAAGGCTCTCAAGAGCTGCGGTAAGATCTTCTTCGCTTCCGCGGCCACCGATATCAAAAGCGCTTGCTGCGTTCGCCAGAACAGATGATCCCTCGCTGCTTGTGCTCTTTGATCGCTGGCTCTCCTCGGGCTTGGCTGTTCCAGCAGTCACAAGTCCTTCGCTAGCCGTGCGGTTGGGAATGAATCGGTCGCCAGCGTTGTGCGCAATACGAACAGTAGTCTTTCCTGACCTCGTCGTCCGGGTCGTCCGGATCTCTTCTTTACGGGCAACCTTCTCCCGAGGAACTTCCTTGCGGGTAACTTCCCTGCGGGTGACTTCTTTGCGTAGTCGCTCCTTGGACGGAGTCTGTGATGAAGAGGGTCCAGTACCCGTCAAAGCCCACTCAGAGACTCCTAACTCAAGGTGTTTAGGGGACTTGCGAGGACGAGCGCGGGCGATGTTGGACTTGGGAGACTCCCGGTAGCTGCGGGAGGTGGAGAGGTTGGATTTGGGAGATTCGTGGTACTTGCGTGTCGGCTTGGAGACTGACTTGGCAAAGTATGAGGAGAGATTGCCGCCGTAGACAGACTTGCCAAACTCTTTGCCCGTCTCTCCAGCTCCGCATTGGGGAGTGAAAGGGGAGGAGTGGTTCGAGGCCACACTATCGCGTCTGCGCGGAGACGGCGTCAGGGGCATACGACCACCGGCAGTTTTTGTGGAGAATATCCCATGGTGAGTCTTCACGGGGGTAGATACGGTCGGAGTAGCCATGTGGGTATATAGTTATTGTGCGAACAATGCAACGGGAGACCAGGTCTTCAAGCTCCGGTAGTGACGCCAATTGCAGTCGACTACTTACTGGCTTGGACTGACAGGCTGAAGAGGTCAAAAGTGAAAATGCAGTATAGAATACAGCAGAATATATAGCAGATAGCAGATAAACAAGCAAAACAGGAAGATGAAGAGGGAAGAGGAGGGAGGGAGATTTGAGATTCGAAGAGGAGGATCCAGGGGAGAGGAATAAATAAAGCGTATAGTTCTTCTTTCCCATGGCAACCGCTGGTTACTGGAGGTACGACTGCGCTAGTCCAAATGCGGGGTGGCGAACGCCTGACATGCGGCTTATCCCAATCAGGCATCGACCGGTCTTGCGGTGGCGGTCAGCGTCAACTTTTTCCGTCTCCAGACTTTCTTCGGAACTTTCCGTCTTCATCTTTGGGTGAAAAGTACTTCAACCGAACGGTGCTGGTTTCTCCGACTTATCAACGATGAGATTATGATTCAACCGAGTTGAGTTGACTTGACATTCACCTAGCAGTCAAATCCCATCACTGCTGCTGAATAGTAGTGCTGTCTCTCACCCGCTCTTATCAGACCGAGGTCTCCTATCCTTATCGGTGCCCCGATGGCGCGGCAACCGTCCTCCACTATCGCTCGGAATAGTAACGCTTCTTCGTCCTCGGGCGACCCACTGCCTTGGCCCCAAATCGCCAGCCAGATGGCTTCCCTTCCACCTACAAGTACTTCTCAGAGATCACAGAATACTTTCCTTATGCCACCGAGTCCGAGTGGTAGTGGTGATCGTCGCGGGAGTGCGGACTACCGCCCGAGCATCCGCAAGGCACTGGGCCATGTGCCGGCGTGCCTGGTCAATGCGTCGGTGACGTATTGCAATAATGACCAGATCTACGCTTTCGGTGGCTTCGACCAGTACACCGATGAAGGTTGTCATTTTTCCATTCCGTGTCGGATAGTTTGTGTCTCTATGCTAATCACTAAGTCTGGCTGAGGCAGTCTATAACCATGTTCTCCGCTTGAATCTGAGTACACTTCGCTGGGAATTGGTTGATAACTATGGGGATATCCCCGGTGTTCGCATGGGTTAGCTCCCCCGCACTTCGTTGGATGCTTCACAAAACGGCTGTACATACTTATGTTCTTTCATCACACACAGGTCATACGGCTACCCTGTACCAAGGCGACAAGTTGATTGTTTTCGGTGGAGAAAACGAACACCGCGAGTACCTTTCCGATGTTGTCATTCTCGACATCCCCACCTCGAACTGGACCCAGCCAGAAATCCGTGGACTAATCCCGCGAGGAAGGGCTCGCCATGCTGCGGTGATTTATGACGAGAAGCTATTCATCATTGGGGGCGTGACGGGCGAAAACAACGTCATTCTCGATGAGCTCTGCTACTTGGATCTGAAAACTTGGACCTGGTCTCGTACTTGGGCGTTCACCGCCCGCTTCGACCATATTGCCTGGGTCTGGGGCGGCCGTCTCTGGATCTTTGGAGGCCTGGACCCCAACATGGAACGGACAACGGATATCTGGTGGCTGGACCTCAAAGACATGCAATCTCTTGGAATGGCGACATCGCAAGGTACCGTGGAATCCCCAACGACCGCCAGCAGGATGACTTATAGTCCAGACACTATGTTTAGTAGCCCCCCGCAACAGCTTGCCGGCCGGTCCAGCAACTATGCAGCAAACTCTGGCAGCGTGCAGATCCGGACCCAGTCCAGGACCTCGACTCGACGAAAGC